ATTCTGCAGTTTTTCTGGGTGCATCTTGGGGGGTCTATACCCTGGAAGCAAGGAATAGTCTTTGAGCCCTGTTCTGCTCTTGGAAGAGCTTTCTTGCTGTTATTCTTCCAGTCCCTGTATCTCCCTCAGAGATCTTCCTTGGCAACAATTGAAGCTTGTACTGAGTCTCAAATAATCGCAGTCTCTTTTAGTCTAGGTTCGTGAGTTTATTGGGCAGTAGTAATTTCTTCAAAACTCACTAGACTTCTTATCTATTTGATTCCAGAGAATTCCATGTACTAATAACCACATCCATGGTCCTATTTTAAGACATTTTTCTGTGCTATCTTGCTTCCTTACCTCTCTCTGGATTTAAGAGAGCTTCTGTGGGAAAGTTTTAATCTAAATGTTTTTCTGAGTCACTTTAACAATTAAGAAGTTTTATCAGTGCGTATAATGCCTACATATAGCCCTAAGGCTGAGTATTAATCTATCTTCATGTTCAAAAACAAAATTTTATTTCTTGCTGTTTGGGGTGTAAAAGCACTTCTAACTTTGCAAGGCCCTGAATTTCTGGAATCTCTCTATTCTCTTTCATTTTTATTGCAAACTAGCCCAGTTCTTCCCTGAGCTCACTTCTTCATAATAAATTGCCAGACACAGCCAACAACAACCAATACACGCTACTAATATTTTGCTTTCAAACCTCATCTTCTAGAGCTACAAATTTATTGGGTTTATGATCTACCTCCCAGGTAATCTCAGACAAGAGTTTTGCTAAATGTCTTGCTACTTCGTAACATGAATTCATGTTTTTTTAGCTTTCAGTATCAATTTCTACTGCCTGATTGTTAAGCCAAGGACTCATATTTTAGGTTTTTCTAGAACTCTACTTCTATTACCAATATCTGTATTATCTAGTATAGGCTAGATTATGCTGCCTGTTATAATTCTAGAATTTACTTCTTGCTCATGCTGTGTGGCCAGTGTTGGTCATTTGGGGGCTCTGTTCTACATGGTCACTCAAGGACGCAGGTTGATGGAAGTGCCATCATCTTCTATTTGCCCCATTGTAACAAACCATCCCAAAACCTAGAGGCTTGAAACAACAACGGTTAACTTATGATGATTCTAAGGGTTTGGTTGGGTGATTTTTCTGCAGGAGGAGCCTGGAATCACTTATGCAGCTGGAGGGTTGACTGAAGGATGATTTCAGCTGGGAGGTCTGGGCAGTTCTCTCACCATGTGGTCTTTCCTCCTTAGGAAGGCTAGACCAGGCTTCCTCATATGGTGGCAAGAGGGCAAACCCGAGTGAGCAAGCCTTGTCAGGCTTCTTCTTGCCTCATGTTTGCTGATATCCCATTAGCTGAAGAAAGTCACATAGCCAAGCTCTTGTGTCAGCATGGGAAGGGACTAAACAAGGAATGGATACTGGGATGTGCACTTCCTTGGCTGTGTAACAATCTATCATGACCATTTACAGCAGGAGTCAGCAAAGGTTTTCTTCAGGGTCTACATGGTAAATATTTTAGGCTTTGCAGGCCATATAATCTCTGTCATGACTTCTCAATTCTGCTGTTAGAGACAATATATAAATAAATGAGTGTAGCTATATTCCAATAAAACTTTATTTACAATAACAAGGAGTGGATCGGATTTGGTTCACCATTGATCTGGAACATAAAGCCTTTATTCAGTCTCTGCAGCAAGGGAAGAAAGGTGGCTCTTTTATGCTTTGGCTCAGAAGTAACACATGTTGATTCTGCCTGTAGCCCTTTGGCCAAAACTAGTCACATGGCCATATCTAACTGCAGTGGGGTGAGGAGTATAATCCTGCTCTGTGCCTGGAAGGAGAGGGCAGCTAGACATGGGTGGACACTAGAAGTCTTTACCACAGGAGCCACAATGATGTCCATTCAGATCTTTATTGAGTACCAGGCACTGGTTATAAGTACTGAATAAAATGGACACCAAAACCATTGCCCTCATGAGCTTATATAGAGACCGTGATGGTTAATACACTAAGAGGAAGGAGTATCTTATACATCTCTGTCCTAGAACTGTTATTTATTATCTCATTATTTGCATACTTGGCTTTTTCACCAACTGAGCTGTGAGCAACTTGAGGGTGTGATTGTATCTTCTTGATGCCTAATATCGTGACCGACTCTTTGTAAGTACTTTTTAAGTATCAAATAATTGAATGATTGAATGTTTGAACCATCAGACCGAAACAAGGATTTACTTTAAACTTTGGGAGATGTGGGTATAGGTACGTAATTTCTCTGGCACTTAGGTACCTAACTTCCTAATCCCTAGAACTGCCACTGGACAAAAGGCTGGGTGTTGTGAGTTGTTTCTCTATATGTGAAGAGACAAGAATAGGCTCCAAGAATTAAAGTCTGTGTTTCTTCCGTTTTAGTGGTGAGCGAAAGAGACCCAGCAAAACTTTATCTGCAGAGTCCAGGTCTTTGGGCAGAAGTACCTTAAAGATTTAGATTAATGATTTAGATTTAGATTAAGATTTCATAATGCCTGAGGATTACCTTGAGAATGCGTAGAACAATAAATATTTCCCTCTTCTGATCCCCTCCTTGCCTCCCTTGAGGGGTGGTAGTTCTGGTTTTTAACACTCTCTGCTGAAATCCTGGGGTATGCACTGAAGTATGGACAGTCATTGAGAGAAGGGAATATAGATGGGAGCATAGGGCCTTTAAAAGGTTTGTGCCAAATGAATAATCCCATGTCTATAAGCCTAGTAAACAAGCAGTTGACTTGGGACAGGCCCAGTGGTGTAGTGGTTAAGTTCACATGCTCCACTTCGGCAGTCCGGGGTTTGCAGGTTCAGATCCCGGGTGTGGACCTACGCACTGCTCATCAGGCCACACTACGGTGGCATACCATATATAGAGTGAAGGAAGACTGGCACAGATGTTGGCTCAGCGACAATCTTCCTCAAGCAAAAAGAGGAGGATTGGCAACAGATGTTAGCTCAGGGCCAATCTTGCTCGCAACAAAAGAAAAAAAAAAAAGCAATCGACTTACTTTACATATCATACAAAATAATGGCTTTTATAAATGTGAATGTTGCTCAAAGAATACCTGTTTTAGATTCATGAGCTGAGCCATTTTTTAAGTTGGCTGCATTCCAAATTTTATCATAGTCTGGTTCACTTCTTACCTTGGAACAAATAAGACAAATTCAGGATACAGTTTTTTGAAACAGGTATTTTTGTAAAGCAATCCATTTGGGAAACATGTCCATAGAGAATACAGATTGACACCACTCATGCCCTCAAGAAGTTGACAGTCTAGTGATTGAGTTGGGTATATAAATAGGTGACTCTAATACAAACAATACGATTTTATAATCAAATAGAAATATGGTTAAAGTACTTTTGGAATGTAGGAGTAAGTATCCAGCCAAGAAAAGGAATAGAAAAATTAGAGAATACCTTCATGGAATAAGGTATCCTTAAGCCACATATGTGAAGATACATAGGATTTTGAAAGGACTTTATGGGGAAAAGTGTATTTGAGGCACAGGGAGTACTGAGTGGCAGACAAGGGCCTAAGCTAGAGCAGTGGCTATTCAATGACAAAGAAGGCACTGGTGGAGGAGCCAGCAGAGCTGGGGGATCTGAGGATTGCTGGGCTGTGGAGGGTGACGAGGGGGGCCAGCAGAGATGACATCCAGGAGCCCCGGATGCTGAAGATGGTCAGGATTGCTGAAGGAGGAGCTATTGTACAAGAAAAAAGCTCAGTGACTTTGAAGTCACATCCAAATTTGAATCTGTGACTCTCTCCTGTGGTTCTGTGTACACTCCTTCTGGTACCTCTTAGTATAGTCAGAATGAGAATACATTCATTACCTGTCAGGCAGGCACCTAGCTGTGTTCCTTCATCCAGGAATTTCAGTCTTGCTTCTTTTATTTGCTGTCCTAACAATAATAAAGGGCCCAGACTTGGACTGAATTGATATTGCAAATCATCAGAATCCACGTTCCCAAACATAAGGAGGTTCTTGCCCCTACCCTCAGGTAATGCTGGCTGTGAACATGATGTTCTTGGAGTTGTTTTTCAAATAGTTCTGTTTTCAAATATTTCTCCATTTAAGCAGCATCGGTATTTATTGCTGAAAGGACATCTGTTCTGCTGGCCTGGCACCTGGCTTCTGAGATAGAAGTTTTTTTAGGTCTTAGTCTACCTTCTTATGGTAGAAAAATTAATTTTGACTCCAAGCAAATGAAGTTATCTGACATTCTTGTTACAAGTTATGTGAGTGACCTTGGGACGATTATGACACGTCTTGGTAGGTTTTCAGGTATATTTTTGTGTCCCCAGCATAGAAGGGCATCCTGATGGTCGTAAGTCAACACTCAAGAGCCTGAAAGTTTTTTGCACATTGCATGTCAAGTCCTGAGTTTTAGGGGTTATTTTCCACAGAGATTCATATGCACACGTAAAGCTGGCCCATGGCTGGGCTCCAGCCCATACAGAGTTACTTGCCAGTTCCAGAGAAGCAGAGAATGAAGACACTCATGCCCCATCATCCATCATTTTTTTTTTCTATGAACCTTACAGCTGGATATTGAGAAATCTGGATTTCATCTTTCTTTTTTTTTTTCATTTCAAGTCAGCTGAATGGCCTGTACACATGGATATAAAGAAATATAACCAGGAAGTGTTTGTGGTCTTGAGTCAGAACTTGAGACATTTGAAGTCAACCATTTCAGTAGTGTTTGTTTCTTTTTTTTTTTTTTTTGGTGAGGAAGATCAGCCCTCAGCTAACATCTGATTCCAATCCTCCTCTTTCTTTTTGCTGGCCCTGGGCTAACATCCGTGCCCATCTTCCTCTACTTTATATGGGACGCCGTCACATGGCTTGACAAGCGGTGCGTCAGTGCGCACCCAACCTGCAAACCCCAGGCTGCCGCAGTGGAGCACATGCACTTAACTGCTTGTGCCACCAGGCGAGGCCCTATTTCTTTTTAATCAGATTTTGAATCTTCTTTTTGCAGGTTGTGTTCCTCACTGGCTTTGGCTATGTATATGTGGACATTGGCCATCAGTGTGGCACAGTCTTCATCACTGTGGCCCCAGAAGGAAAAGCAGGACCTATTTTAACCAATACCAACAGGTAGGTTTAATTATTATCCCAGTGGCAGTATAGTAAGCTTTCCCATTATAAAGTTGTAAACCTACTGTTTACCATTCTCTGTCATCCCTATATATACATTAAAGCTTTTGGTTAATTATCATATAATCCATGTTATTCACTTAAATCATACCTATAATAGGTAGCAATATATCATCTTCCTTGGGTACCTCTTCCAGTTCTTCTGTGATAAGTTTAACAAACTGATTTACAAACTAAGACATGCATCTTAGAATTATATGTCATCATTAGCATGAAATGCAAATTAATACTTCTGTATACACATGACAACCTAGTAATTAGACTTAATTCAAGCTACATCAAAAATAAATTCACCTCTGGGGCTGGCCCAGTGGCGCAAGCAGTTAAGTGCGCGCGTTCCACTGCAGCAGCCTGAGGTTCACCAGTTCAGATCCCGGGCATGCACCGACGCACGCTTGGCAAGCCATGCTGTGGCGGCATCCCATATAAAGTGGAGGAAGATGGGCACGGATGTTAGCCCAGGGCCAGTCTTCCTCAGCAAAAAAAGAGGAGGATTGGCAGATGTTAGCACAGGGCTGATCTCCTCACAAAAAAAAATAAGAAGAATAAAATAAATAAATAAATTCACCTCTTACAGCCACATGTTTTTTTCCCCTTCAACCTGACTGTTGCCATCAGATTTTGCAAACATGAACCAAAGAGTTAATATCCTTAATTAAAAGGAACTCATATAATTCAGTAGGAATAATATGAAGATAGCCCTTCCTTCCAAAAATAAAATAAGGGCAAAAGACATGACCAGAAAATTCTAGCAAGAGGAAATACAAGCAATCAAGGAAATGCAAATTTAAATAAGATATTACCTATCAAATTAACAGTGATGTTCCGTCATATACAGTCTTCTAGTGGAAGTGTAAATCGTTACCATTTTTTTGTGTGTGTGTGTGTGTGAGGAGGACTAGCTCTGAGCTAACATCTGATGCCAATCCTCCCCTTTTTTTCCTTGAGGAAGATCTGGCCCTGGGCTAACATCCGTGCCCATCTTCCTCTACTTTATATGGGACGCCACCCCAGCATCGCTTAACAAGCGGTGCGTCGGCGCGCGCCTGGGATCTGAACCTGCAAACTCCAGGCCGCCAAAGTGGAGCACGCACACTTAAACGCTGCGCCACTGGGCAGGCCCCAAATTGTTACCATTTTTTAGAAAACACTTTAGCAATATGTATTAAGAGCTTTAAAATCCCTTTGGCTGGAAATTCCACTTTTAAGAGTTTAAGAGTTAAAGCAATAATTAAAGAAGTAGGCAAAGATATATGCAGAGAGATATTTATCACATCGCTAATTATGATGACAAAATATTCAGAGTTTAAATGCCCATTAGTAAGAGAATGGATGATACATAAATGTACCATAAATGGTGTATCCATAGAAAATAGGTTTATAGGATTTAGTGGAATAGAAAAATGCATATGATAAATCAAAAATAAAGCAAACAGAATATAAAATGGGATATATAAATAGGATCCTAGTTATGTGTCATATGTACATATCTGTGCACACATAAATACATATATGCACGCACATTCTTACAGACACACATGCACAGAAAACTTTCCTAGAGGGCCGGCCCTGTGGCTTGGTGGTTAAGTGCGCGCGCTGCAATGCTGGTGGCCCGGGTTCGGATCCCGGGTGCGCATCAAGGCACCACTTCTCC